CTCTTCCTCATGACCAGGACGTCGCCACACCCGTCCTCGATGGGCAGGAAGATCTCGGGGACCACGATGAGGATCCTGCGCTTGGGGGGCGGCGAGATGTGCCACACGCACTCGGCATTGGCCGGGTAGTCGCCAGGGTAGTTGGGGGACTCGATGTAGCCCGTGTAGTCGCCAAGCTCGCCGCCGCAGTGCTGGTCTGTGGGCACCACAGCCCGTGCCCTGGTCAGGCCCGGCTGGCCCTCAGCAGCCTCGGCGGCCCAGGGCAGGGCTGGTAGGTGCTCCGCCCCCTCTCTGGCCCCCCTCTCCCCGGTCCTCCCCGCCAGCAGGCCAGGCTCCGGGCGGGTCTTCCCTCGGGCACCCCTCAGCGGGGGGCGGGCCCCCGTTACGTGTTGGCTGTCGGAGGCCCAGCCCCGGGTGCCTCCTTCCTGGGCTGCCTCACCTGGACCTCCGCGGCCGGGCCTTGTCCTGGCCTCCTGCCTGGAGCCGCTTTTGCGCCCCGCAGGCGCGCCCACGCCGCCGCCGCTGCCAGCTCCCCGCCAGCCCTGCTCTCCTCTGTGTCTCAGCCAAGGCCAAGGACGCCCCGACGTCCCCTTTCTCTCCACTCACTCGTCTGTGCACCCCTTTGCTCAACATCCCCTGAGTGCCCCCCAGGCGCCAGGTGTGGCCCTCCCCAGGGAGCAGGCAGGCTCAGGGACCAGCAAGAGACACGCTTCCCTACGTTTTCAAGTCTAGCTAAGCCGTGCATCCTCAAAGAGGCCAAACGTGACTTTTTTTTATGAGCTAAACGGTTCCTAGCTTAACTGCATAAAGAAAATTGAGTGTAAATACTAAATATACATAATTTTCTCACACATCTTAAATTTCTCCCATCAAAATTTCTGGGAAACATTTCACTTTCACCTGATCATTCCAGAAGCTTCCCTCCCACTTTTACCCCACTTTTCCTCATTAGGACATTTAAACACTTAAAACCCTGCCTATGCTGAGCTGCCGCAGGAGGCCACGAGCCCAGCGGGGGCAGCCCGCGCAGAGGGGGTGGCGTCCACGTCGAGGATTAAATCTCCTTCACAGGCCATTAGGCTGTTCCAAACATGACCAGCGGCCCAGGAAAGGAGTCACTGGCTGGAAACTGATTAGGGAAAGGGTAAAATACCAGAACATATGCCCTAAAGGGCTCTGAAAAGTGAATTAGAAATCCCTAAAGACAGCAACCTCTGGGTTAGGCCCAGATGACTTGCTGGTGAAGGGCTCGGAGATGATCTATTTCCCGGATTGTCTTACGCTGCCACGTTTCTTTTGGCTAAAACGGAGCTTCCTACAGACACAGGGCGGCCGTCTGGTCTCCCTCTTCCACCTGCACCCTTGGTACACCCCGAGCATCCTGCGCCTTTAGAGCTGCAGGGTCTGGCGCGGGCAGCTGCCCCACAGGCCTCCTTGGCATGGGCCCTGACTTTTCCCTCCGCAGACCCAGAGCCTGGAGTGGGGCCCGGCCTGGCACTGAGGCGCAGGTGAGCCACGGGAACCGATGAACAACGGTGCGATCAGGTCGCTCCATGGAGTGCAGGGGGCGGGCCAAGCCGGGCCGCACCCTCCACACCACAGGGTGTCCCACCGAGTGCATGTGCGGATGTGACGGGCCAGGGAGGAGTCACCGGCCTCCCGGTCCATGTCACTGCGGACACGACCTGAGGTCAGGGCTCACCCTGCCCTCACAGCCTGCCCCCAGTCCCCTCCCGGCACCCGCAGCTCCTTGGCTGCGGGAAAAGCAGCACCTACTTTTGCAGTGTGTGACGTTGGTGGAGCCGTCGAAGTCTGTGCTGGTGTTGCCAGGACAGGTGATGCAGTGGTTCTGGCCAAACTCGGGCTGGTAGGTGCCGACAGGGCAGCGGATGCACCGGTGGGTGGTGGTATTGTAGTGGTGGCCGGGGGAGCAGTGCACTGTGGTGGTGGGGGACCGGTGGGAAAGGGCGGGCGGCATTCTCCCCAGGGCTCCCTGCCCTTGAGGGCTGACTCAGCCCAGAGTTCAAGGCCCCTCCCCATTGCCCGGTAACCTTCCACCACCCACGCCCAGTCCCTGAGTGGCCGACCCCTCTGCTCCCTGCCCCTGCCCGCAACAGTGCAGGGTGTGCTGTGGACCACGGGTTCTGAGCAGCGAGCCAGGCAGACCGAGCCCTGCCCTGGGGCCAACATCGTACTCCGGCTGCGTGGGATGCCCATCTGTCCCTCCACTGGGGATCATAAATGGAAAGTGAGACGCCGTAGGGCCGGCTGTGGAGGGAGGCGAGGGAAGGCAGCACCGAGGGGACCGGCGTGGAGACCCGAGGAGTGCGGAGCTGGCCCAGAGGTGGGCCGTGTCTGTGCCAGCTGTGGCCGGAGCAGAAGTCAGGGGCCACGGTGAGGGCTGGGCTTTCCTCTGAGCGAGGAAGGCCACCTGGAGTGTCCCCGGCTGCTGCACTGGGAGGGTGCTCTGGGGGAGGGGGGGCGGCGGAGGCCCAGGCAGGACAGGCCAGGGCCGTCGGGGAGGGGTGGCGGTGGCCTGGGTCAGGGTCACTCTGCGTCTGTTTATTTTTTATTATTTTATTTTTGGCCACGCTGCGCGGCATGCAGGATCTTAGTTCCCCGACCGGGGATCGAGCCCATGTCCCCGGCAGTGGGAGTGCGGAGTCTTAACCACTGGACCGCCAGGGAAGGCGCAGTCGGGCTGTTTAGAAGCTAGAGCTGCAGGGGCTGCGCACAGACTGGGTGTGAGGTGAGGGGGACGCCAAGGCTCCCGTGAGCGCCTGGCAGGAAGAGCTGCCGTGCACTGGAGGGGAGCCTGGACCTGGGGAATCTGAGATGCTTGTTAGATACGACGTGGAGCTGTGGCCTGGCGGGAGGGCAGAGTCCAGTTCAGGGGAGAGGCTGGACGGGAAACAGAAGCTGGGGGCACCCGTGCAGAGATGCTACCTAAAGCGAGCAGATGAGTTTATCCAGGCTCAAGAGCGGCGCGTGCAAGGGGCCTGGGGCGGCCCAGCACTCGGGGGCGGGGCTGCGGGAGGCTGAGCGGGGCCTGGGGCCCAGGCCGAGGAGCGGCAGGAAGAGTGCCCCAAGGGGGCCACGTCCCAGTCTCGGGAGACGCGGACAGGACTGACTTGGGCTCCAGCAACTCAGGGACCCTGTGGGCCGCCTTGATGGGAGCAAACGCTGGGTGGGCGTAGTGCGGCGACAGTCGGACTGGCTGGCGGGGATTTGGAGAGAATGAGAGGAGAGGTAGTGGAGTCCAGACGCTCCTTCTGGGGAGGCTAACGGTAAAGGGGGGAAAACCTGGCAGGAGCCAGGGGAGGTGGGGCTGGAGAGCTGGGGAAGATTCAGAGTCTGTCTGTCGGGCCATCAGCAGGTGGGGAGGACTGTCCCGCCGTGGAGAGTCGAGCCTGGGGCGGCGGTGCAGCTTCAGCTTCGGTGGCGTGGCGTGGAGAGGAGGAGGGGCCGCACTGCAGGGCCCCGGCAGCCCTGACGACCTCTGACCTCTGACGTCACCCCGCTGCCCCTGCTCACTTTCCTCCCCTCCCAACCTTCCTCCCAGTGCCGCTCGAAGCCTCGCCAGTGTCTCGAGGAGCTGGCGGCTGGGGGCTCAGAGCTCCAGGCTGGAGCCTCAGTGCCTGCCTGGCTCTCTCATGTGAGCCCTCAGGCAGGCCTGTGCCGGACCCCCGCCGTCCCTGTCCTCGTGTGCAGCACAGAGCTCGCCACCAGCGCCCACTGCTTGAGGCTCCAGGCTCCTCCTCTGACCTTGGAGGTTTGCCAGGGCAGGAAATGAGGGGCATCCAGGGAAACTGACCCTGAGCGGAGGGGTGAGTGGGGCAGTCCTCACCTTTGGCCTCACAGTCCTGGAAGGCGGCTGTGCCCTCGTGCTTGGTGAGCAGTCCGCCTCCGCAGGGGAAGCAGCCGGTGCGCCCGGGCTCAGGCTGGTAGGTGCCCACGGGGCAGGCCTGGCAGGGCCTGAAGCCGTCGGTGGAGAAGAGGCCCGGAGAGCACTGGCCTGCAGGTCAGAGGTCACGGCTCAGGCTGCGGGGCGGGCGCCTCGGTCCAGGCGCGGCGCTCAGCTCAGCCCTCACCTGTCCTGGGAAAGGCACCGAGGCGCCAAGGCGGGGGGTCGTGGGGCAGGAGTGCACTGTGTGGTCTTGGTCAGGCCTGGCTTTTCTCCTCCCACCAGCTAGAAGGGCTGTGGGCTGAGAAGAGGCCTTGATCCAGAGCTGAGAGGTGTGGGCACCACATGTGGAGGTGGGAGGCCGTGGAGGCCATTTATTTAGGGGGCTCTGCCCCGGGGGCGGGCCACACTGTCTTCACGTGAGGACCTGGGGCTCTTAAGCTCCAGGCTGATGCTGCCTTGTCTATCTGCCTGGCTGGGCCTGAGCGGAGGGAGGGGGTTCCGTGAGGTCCCCAGGGCACAGCTGGGGCAACGGGAGGAGACAACACGTCCTGGCAAAGACATCAGGATGTAGAGCGCATTCCAGCGCCGAGCGAGGCGTGCGCTTAGTGCCTTCTCAGCCCCGACCCTGGAATTCTCTGCTCCCCCAGTAGCCTCTCTGTGCTCTGACAGGTGCTACCTCCCCTGGGCCACAGACCACACGCCCGGAGGGGCCAGGGGCCAGAGGGCGGCTGGCCAGCCTGCAGGGACTCAGGGCTGGGCTCTGATCTCTTCTGTCCCCCAGAGAAGGCTGGAGGTCTCCGCCACCCTAAGGGTCCCACTCACCAGCCCACCTTTCCCCATCCATTCTCTTGGGTGAGCCCCACAATGGCCCGGGAAGGGAGGCTGATGGGGGGAAGGCTACAAGCCCATTTCACAGATGAGGTTAAGTGGGGTAAGTAAATGGAAAAGCTCTTGGCAAACCAAATTGTGCTCGGTAAGTTGAAAAAGGGCTCTCCAAACCATCGAGAAGGCCAACTGTAAAGTTCTTTGTGTAGAGCACAGCTCCTCCCCAAGTATCTGGCCGCACTCCACAAAGCGTTTCGACAATGACGGGTGCCCCATGAGGTGTCACGTGTTTGCTCAACTATAAAGCACTACGTACCTCCGCTATAAGCTGACCTGTAAATGAGCAAGTGGTAAACTGTAAAGTCCTTTCCAACCTGCATGGTGCAGTTTTAAAGGGCACCAAGTGCAGCCCAGCGCCTGCTCACCGCCGTGCACTGGGGCACGTGCACTGTGGGCCTGCAACGCACTTGGTAAGTGCAGCTGCGTGGAAGTCCGGACAGGCTCTGGAAACAGCAAAGAGCTTTACAAAAGACCACGAGGCACCCGGGCCTATGCCTTGGGAACCTCGGTGGAGACAGGAGGTGCCCTGTTCCCCCACCCCCGGCTCCTCTTTGCAGGGAGGGCCCCTACTCGCCTCCACACTCGGACACGTTGCGGGCACCGGCCAGGCCGAGCCCGTCGCTGCTGGGGCACGGCGTGCAGCTCAGCTGGCCGTTCCCGTCCTGGTAGGTCCCCGGCGTGCATGGCACACACTGGCCTGGCTCTCCGCTGAAGTAGGTGCCAGGCCCGCAGGCCACTGCGGAGGCAACGTGGAGAGACTGCTGGGGGCAGAGGTGGGGAGATGTGGCCAGGCGGTCTGGCCGTCTGTCTGCTGGTGCCTCAAGCCCAGGCTCTGTCCTTCCACGTAGGGCCCAGCTCTCGCCCCTGTGGCTCCAGGGGCACAGAGGGGCCCGGACCCATCCCAGAGGAGCAGGGGGTAGGAGCCAGGCGGTGGTCATCTGTGACGACCCTGTCCTGGTCTCATGCGCCCTCCTGGCTGCTGCCACTCAGGGTCCCCTGCAGACCCCTCGCCTCAGCCCTCTCGTAAGTGTCTCTGCAGGGACTTTCGTCCCCTCTCTGCTCCACATGCTGCCCTCCAGCCCTGGGCCCTCGGCCTGTGTACCGACGGCCTCCTAGATGCCCCACAGTCAACTTCATCCAAACCAAGCTCCCCTGCCGGTTCCCCTTTCCTTCCCCATGTGGCGGAGCTGGCACCTGAGCACGTGGGGCTCAGGTGCAGAGGGGCTGGGGGAGTGACAGGGGCCTGGGGGCTGAGGATACAGAGATGCTGGGCTGAGGAGAGCCAGTGTGGTTGGCTGCATTGGCCACGTAAGCAAACTGATGAGTAAGTGAGGGAACTGACTGAGAAAGTAAATTAAGGAGAAAGGGAGCTGAATGCCTCATGGGACAAGATATTTAGCAACATGGAAAAATGCCACGGAAAAAGAAAGAAAGAATAATGAGGTACTGAATTGGAGGTATTGGTATGAACTCATGGTTTTATAAAACACACACACACACACACACACACAGCTACAGGAGTAGCATAGGTACATAGGTCTCCATGTGATATATGCATACCCATACTTTCTAGTTCTGTCCAATGAGAGGGCCTAGAAGCGGGCCGTCCAATGAGAGGGCCTAGAAGCGGGCCGTCCAATGAGAGGGCCTAGAAGCGGGCCGTCCAATGAGAGGGCCTAGAAGCGGGCCGTCCAATGAGAGGGCCTAGAAGCGGGCCGTCCAATGAGAGGGCCTAGAAGCGGGCCGTCCAATGAGAGGGCCTAGAAGCGGGCCGTCCAATGAGAGGGCCTAGA